AAAGAAGGCGTAACTTTTATTCTCGCTGTAGTATTGTTGTTGCCGCCACCATGTCGCGAAGGCGCTGTGTTTTGTTGTGAAAGCGAAACTACTTTGTTTGGCCTTCCAAAAGAGGATGATATTGCTTCGTCACGCCTGGAGCTGATCCGTGCTGGTTGCTGAGGAAATACAACAACTTTGCGCTGTGGATCGCCGGATCGGCTTTCACCGTGGCCGAAGCGGAGTCCAGCCCGGGGTCGTCACATGTGGTTGCCGCAAGCCCTCCGGACGCTCCTTCGTCGAATCCGCCGGCTGCGCCGTTCTCAAGCCCACTGGCCTCCGCTCACTCTAGCCCTCCGGCCGTTCCTCACTCTAGGCCCTCTGCTCACTCAAGGCCGCCGTGTGTGACGCTGTGTTTCGTTGTGAAAGCGAAACTACTTTGTTTGGCCTTCCAAAAATGGACACGACTAGAAATCAGTGGTTAAGTTGTATTTACAACACTGTTCCAGAACACTTCAACCCAAATATTCAGATGTGTGCAGCACATTTTATGGAGGACTGTTTCCTGATCCTGGGAGAGTAGAGTACAACGCCGGCTGTTCTGACTCACAGACTGTGAGTACGTGTTTTATGTTTAAAGGATTTGCCACTGACGATTCAAACGCGAGTTTTGGGCAGTGTTTACTAGTCATAATGATTTTAGGAGAGTTCAGAATAAATCAAATATAACAATTTATTATCAGTCAGGTAAATATGTATTATGCCAATTATCTCCACAGCCAATTCAACGATATCAAATCAATACAAGACATCAAATTCTCAAAGACAAATCTAAGAGTAAGATGCATACCTGACTTCGTGTGAAAAATACATAGTGTGAATTTTGTGGACACCTTCACACTACGGGCTTTCTGGCTACAGAATCGCCCTGACTGATTTGCAACTTTCCCTTAAATACTACCAGAACAAAGACAGAGAAATCTTTAAATCAGTTGTAAAAACATAAAAGACCTTTTGTTTGTTAGTTTCTGTGATCCAGGGTCACACCCGGCTGGAAACATTCTCACAGACCCCTAAAGGGGGACACACCCCCTCCTCAACACAACACAATTCTACAAAAGTGTTAAGTCTTTCTCACAATATAAATGACTACTTTGAAATTGAAACCATTTTACCAATCGCACAAAGACCTTTAAAATGACACTAAACATGAAGGGAAAAAACAACAGGTTCACAAGATACATGATATGTGGGATATGCATATTCTTAATGAACTTTGGGTGAAATCTTTTGGGGGAAAAGAGGGAGAGGCAGAGAGGCCAGGGGGAGAAGGGGGTCGTAAATGGGCGAGGAGAGAGGCGTTGTTTGCTCTCTTTGAAGATTTCTTCTCCAGATTTGTTTTATTGCATGGCGTCTGTTTTGTGTGAGTTCCTGAGTATTGGTTTCATGAAGAGTTAATTTCATAAGGAAATAAATTCAGTTCTTTCAGATGTAACATTTCCGTCACATGCTTGAGGTATTCGGCCAATCATAACGCACTGGATAGCTGGCCAATCACAGCACAGCTCGCTTTTCAGACCAATGAGCTTTGTAAAAATTGACGTGTTTCAAAAAGGCGGGGCATAGAGGAGAACATTTTTTTACAGTATGTGGAAAATAATGTGTTTTTTGAACCTTAAACCGCATAAACACATTTCATTACACCAAATACACAAAATAATGTTCTTTTTAGCAATATCATATGACCCCTTTAATATTAAGCATAAACTGTGTTTTAATGTCACTATTAATAAGGATTGTATGAGTATAATATCAGTCTTTAAATGCAATATATTTAAAGTGTACCTGAAGTATACTTACTTACTTACGCAATAGTTCCACTTTAGCACAATCAAATATACTTAAGTATATCTTTAGTTGGACTTCAGCAGTCCTTCCGCACAATTAAAGTGCATTAAGTACAAAATTATTTGTTCCAACTTAGCAGACTTTGGTTAGTATACTAAAAGTACAGATGCAGGGTATTTTTATTAAGTACATAGATATGTAAATGTTTTTGTAGTACTTAGCATGAAATAAATGTATTTCGAATATATTAGTATATTTATTTTTCGCTAGGGAAGCCCTAAAGAAAATTTTCAGTCAATATTCTACATTTAGATACCCTAAACTAACCACTGTATTTTTGCACACTTGCTTTATATGCTTAAACTACATATAATAAATCTTTCCTCTACACGGAGAACCTGCAATCTTCTGCATTTGAACTTCACCTGTTGTCTGGGAAAAGTAAACTATTCTCCCTAATTTTATCTTCCAGTTAGCACGCTAAACCACTTTCCCAGAACAGTTGCCATGGCCACACATTCCCGCACATCATCGTGCACAGCTTGCTGTGTATTTTTCCAGCTTGATTATTATGGAGCTTGACAGAGTATGTTGTGTCAGAGCAGTACAGTGGTGTTATTTTGTCTGGGTTTGTTTCAGTCAGTATGCATCACATCATGTAAAATCATGAGGAAGTTGGATCTACTGAATCACTATTGGCTCAAGAGCTTCACTGAGTATTGTTTTTGTTTTTTTTGGCAGACATACTGCTTTGCAAGTTCAGCCAGTTCAGCAGTTTCACTCGAAAGTCTTTTAGTAAAAGTCACAAAAGAAAAGTTTAGCAGTTACAGAAATTACAGTGCCAAGTACACAGTGAATGATACATCATGATTTCAGCACAATCCAAAGAATCAGAGAACAGTAAAACAATTATTTTAGTGTAATCTGTTTTCAGCAGAATGCACGTAAGACTTATAAATACACAATACATATGTATTATTATGCACATAATAAATTTTGTTTTCCAGTTTTTGAGGTTGGACAAAATTTGTAAGACATTTTTAAATACAATGCTGTTCAGTTTGGGGTTGGAAAGATTTTTAAAATCTGTAATATTTGATCAAAATACAGTAAAAAGACTAATATTGTAGCATACTATTATTATTTAAAACAACTGTTTGCTATGTAATATATTTTAAAATGTAATTTATTTCTATGATGGCAAAGCTGAATTTTTAGCAGCCAGCTGAAAATGCACATTTATTTGACGTATTTAAAATAGAAATCCTTAGTAAAAAAAAAAATTATAAATGTCACTTTTAAATAAATTTAATGCATTCTTGCTAAATAAAAGTAATAATTTCATTTTGGAAAAATCTTTGTGACCCCAAAAGTAAGAATTCAAGAAATGATACATACATTTTAGTTAAACTAGACATTGTATTTTTGCATGCTTCCTTTATATTCTTAATCTATGTCCTAAAAAACGAATCTTTCCCAATCACAGACCCCAGACATTTCATATTACATTTATTGTACATAAATATTGTATATAAAACTCAAGAGTTTTACATGATTTTCTTTTTCAAGTTAAATGCTTGAGCACTGTGCTGAGTAGATGTAATTGTTTGAATAAGAATAACTGACAATGAAATGACACAAAACATGTATTAACAAAAGATCAAAATGTTTTTATTCAAGAAATGCGCATTATTAGCAACAGTTGCACTTGAAATGTGGATATCCAGTTTTCTGAAACAGCTACATTTAATTATTTGTTATAAAAATCTGTCTAAAGGGAAAACCTCATGTGACTTCCTTTCAAGTATGTGTAAAAAAAAAAATATTAAAATGCATGTTGCATGTCAATAGCAATACAAAAACCCAGCAATAAATACATATTGAAATAAATTACTTAAACATTTATTGTACATAAATATTGTATATAAAACTCAAGAGTTTTACATGATTTTCTTTTTCAAGTTAAATGCTTGAGCACTGTGCTGAGTAGATGTAATTGTTTGAATAAGAATAACTGACAATGAAATGACACAAAACATGTATTAACAAAAGATCAAAATGTTTTTATTCAAGAAATGCGCATTATTAGCAACAGTTGCACTTGAAATGTGGATATCCAGTTTTCTGAAACAGCTACATTTAATTATTTGTTATAAAAATCTGTCTAAAGGGAAACCTCATGTGACTTCCTTTCAAGTATGTGTAAAAAAAAAAATATTAAAATGCATGTTGCATGTCAATAGCAATACAAAAACCCAGCAATAAATACATATTGAAATAAATTACTTAAACAAATAAATAACAAATATGACATCAAGTATCATGGTGAAGGCAATGAGGCCTTCAAAATCTTTTAGAGCTCTGAACTTCGCTCGTTCAAGACAACCGTTGGGTTAGTATGATGTTGTGTGGAGTGCACTGAGCTTGAATTCATGTTTTCTGAACTCTGATATTTCACATCAGGCACCTGAAAGGACACCATCGGACAAGGTCCCTTGATATTCATGCACACCAGCTTCTTCAATGAGGCTGTGTTAACAATGTCAAATCCCACTTTCCCACCAAATGTGCTAGGCATCCAGTATTCAGGAGAACAAATAGCATTTCCCATGAGGCCTTTGAGAGAGTAGGGCGCTCCCATCTCCACCATAGTCTCCCCAAACACAGAGTTGGGTCTGGGTTTCTCCACAAGAAGGCCAGTATACAGCTCGACCGCATCTATGTGACCGTACAGCTGCTTCATTTCGGCTGCCAGCTCCTTGTCTCCTGTTTTACCATACAGACAAGGTTACAATTACACAAGATGTATTTTTTCAAAATGTTCCCATTTCAGAAACTATGTAGTTTTTGTTTTTTAAATGTTGAATGATCTTACCTGTCATATCCTCGAAGGACGAGTAGGGCTTCATGTTGAAGCGTTTCCTGTAGGCATTTAAAGACTGGTAGCGCATCTCTCTGGAATGCTCCAGAACTTTAACAGCCACTGCTTGAACTGCAGCAGGCAGGTTACGTCCACCAGCAACCTGCTCACACAAAAATGATAGACATTAGCAAAGCCAGCAGAGTAAAGACTAGGGGATTGCTCACCCTCATGTCGTTCCAAAACTGTATGAACACAAAAGATATTTTGAAGAACTATGTTTGTCTATTGTCTAAAACAACACTGGACCCCAATAACTCATTTTATGGGCAAAAAACACTGAGGCGTTTTACAAAATATCTTCTTTTATGTTCCACAGAAGAGAGAAAGTCATTTGGAACGGCATGAAGCTTCTCTGAGAAGCTATAATCTACAGTATAAGTGAAACTCACCCTTCCAGCCCTCTGTTTGGTGAAGGAATCCACCATGTTGCGGATGCCGTGCTGGGTCAAAATAGAGTTGTTAAACACAAACTGGTGGTGGCCGTAGACCTGGTCCTGGATCTGAAAGTTGTCAGGCATCAGCGGGTGCCAGTGATACAGAGTGTTGAATTCGGATGCGATGCGGTTCTGGTACTGGAAGCGCTCATTGAAGAGAAGCTCCGGGTCAAACTTGAGCTTGAAGTGGTAGCCACTCAAGTGCTGAACATAGTCCTCGATCACAATTTTGATGGTCTCACCTGCATGGGAGAAAAAAGCGGGAATATTTCATTTTTCCTCCACAAAGTTATGAAGATCAGGATGGTTTCGAATGATGAGACCAAGACTCACCAATCAGGATGAGACGAGTGGTTTGGAAGATTCTCTCGTCGTCCCAGTCGGGATGCTCTTGCTTCATGATATCACAGACGCGGTTGTGCTCACGAAGCCAAATGGAGGCATACATCATCAAACCTGGAACCAAACCAAAGGCCTCATGGCCCACAGCAAATCTCTGTTCCTCTGGGACGTGAGGAGGATAGTGCATCTCCACCTGGACATCCTTCACCAATGGAGGATACACCTCACCATCCACAACCTATGAGTCAAATACATTTTGCATTTACTAGGTTTAAACCAACAAGCAATACTTGTGTCCATTTAAAAAAGATAGTTCACCCAAAAACAAAAATTCGGCCATCATTTCTTTCTTTCTTCAGCATTAAAGAAGATATTTTGAAGAATGGCTTGAATAAAAGTCAATGGGATCCAAAGTTGTTTTGATCCCTACTGACTTTTCTTGTATGGACTTCGCAAAAGAATGAAATGAGTGAATTACAGAATTTTCATTTTGGGGTGAAAAAAATGCTGTCCATTTTAATGTCCACAAACCTGATACTTTAGCTTTCCATCTTTAAATAGACGAAGTTTGTGTTGTCTCTCCAGTGTCTCTCCATAAATATGCCCCAAATCCACCTAAAACGTTAGAGAACCTTTAGAAATTGTACTGCAGTTCCTTGTTCCTTATAGACTGTGGATGGGATGTAAAATGTTCCCAAGTAAAATGGTTAATGAATGCCACTTACTCCATGGCCCAGGGCTTTGGTGAAGGCTGGTCCTTTTTTAAAGTCTGACTTGAAGAACTGGTGAGAGAAATGCTGGGCGAAGAAAGCAAACATGAGACTGGTCCTCTGTGGATCAGGGATGAACTGTTTCCTCACCAGCACCTTCTCCACCACCTGCTTTGCATTTGGGAGATCGGGCGTAGGGCAGTTCTGCGGCAATGGGACGAGGGTGCGGGTGTAATAGGACAAGTTAGAATACGCTTCCCAGCTTTTGTAGTTATAATCTGCATTGTACGTCGGTGGACTGTTGACCAAATGGGACCTTGCTGTAAAACAAGAAAGAGGAAAAGTGTAATTTTACATATTTATTTAGTCTCATTTTTGTTACATATTTCGATGAATTCACATTTAACTTACATGTCAGGACATATCTCATTATGGCATCTCTCAGGAAGGAGATGTTGTTGATGATGTCCCAGATCCATTTATAATGCGTTAAGATATAATGCACTATGTTTGGCCTCGGCTTCAGAGTTGATTTGATAAGTGTGAGAAGTTCGGCTGTGAGGCAAGAAAAAACAGTGTTGAGTGCACACATCTTCTCTTATGTAAAATGTTGATCTGTGTAAAAACAATCCATGGCCAGACTTACGGGTAGTACAGTTTTCACCATAATATCCCGTCCTGGTACAGTCACATTCATAAGCATCAGCACCCTTAGATAAACACACACCCTGGTTTTGGCAAGGCTGTGCACAGCAAGGGTCGTCTGCAGGAAACAGTCATGAAGAAAAGGCATGATTAGACTGCATTTGGGTAGAACAATCAAAGTCTGAAAGAAGCACGTAAGTCTAACATTGCTAAAGCTGAGTTAACTTACATCCTTCACCGAGAAAGATCCAAAAGCTTGAAAGTAAGACCAGGCAAATCAGTTTATTCATTCCAGAAGTTGTATGTAGAATGTTTGACTCCGAAGCAGAAGCGTGTACTCTGGTAGAGCGTGTGGAATGTGAGTGTCTGGATGCGCTCCTGTGCCTTTTAACTGCTTGAGAACGAGACGCTTGCGCAATTTCCAAGACGAGAAGAAAAAAAGGGGTTTGTAACGTCAGAAGCCTACACTCTAAAAAAAATGCTTGGTTTTAAAAAGGGACAAACACAGCTATTGGGTTGTTTTGAACCCAGTGGCGTAACTTTGCTTTGAAAAGTGGTGGGGACACCGCGCAACTCGTTTTGCTAGTTTTTCATTTAATAATCTAATTTACATGGGGACTGGGTTTAGAGTTGAACAAACTTCATTTTTGCTTGGAGACTGATATGTTCTCAGAATTGCTAAAAGTTTATATCACGCAATTCTGACTTTATTTCTTAGAATTGCCCGTTTATATCTCTCAATTAGAAATAGGTTATTTAGCCTATTTATCAAATTGTTATTGGTAAACACGTTTACAATGACACATATACTGTATAATAAATAATAAACCTAATAAAAAAAGATAATCTTAATGGTATTTATAGCTATGCTCGTATTTGCAACTAGCCTATAGCCTATATATTCTAAAGTATAGGCTATATTCAGGATTTAGCCTATATCCAGTGTTTATAAGAAGCCTACTTTATATCTGTTCCTCCAAAATAGGCTATTAAGTAATCAATTATATGAGTAAATTATAAATTATTATAATTTATTGGGCCTTTTATATTTATTATACATTTGATCAACTAGACATGACTTTAAATTGAGAAAAGATAGAATTACTTTGGAAACCTCCGTAGTTTTCAAAACCAGACACGACTTGGGCATTCCAGTGATTATTATCGCATTACTTTAACTCATGAGCGCCACCTTGTGTCAGAGAAAGTGTCGCTATTACATTCATTCACAATCTTACATGTGGGTTTATTTTTATGCGTTATAATTTAATCAGTCTGTCATAATCTTAAATGAAAACCTGGACACTTGCATGCGATGACATTTCTCACTTATAACATATTAAAAATATTAACATAGCGCTAAAATCATTCCCATCGGAGTCCTAGTGAAATTTGAAGAGCTGGGGCGGGGGAAGCGTTTTGCGTCCGCCCTGAAATCGACTGATTTTAGCGAATCTGTTATTATCAATATGCATTAACATGTAGTCTCTATGTTAGAAATGGAAAAGTGTAAAGCTGCTGCTCTTTTGCAGTGGTTAGATTTATTTGCATGCAGACAGCTGCTGAATTTATGACATTCGAGGCACATTTACTGTCTAGAAATAATTCTGTTTGGGAATCACCTAGTGTCTATTTCCTACTTCAGTTAAATGAGCTTCCTTCCTTTATACATACATACGCATTGTACTGCTCTTGACGCTCTAAATCCTTGACTTTGTGGATCATATGCGCAGGTTGAGCATCAGTATTCTCATAGATTGAAAGTAAATGTGGTGAGAGCTGAAAATGTGACGAAAGGAGCATTTGGGGATTTATGTGAGTATATATTTATGCTGTCTTCTTGCTATTTAAATAAACCCTTGAATGCGGATTCATACTTAAGTGACTGTGTGTTTGTTCACAGTGGACACCCCAGACCCTTATGTGGAACTGTCCATACCAACCACACCAGAGTCAAGAAAACGAACACGCCACATAAATAACGACATTAACCCAAAGTGGAATGAGACGTTTGAATTCATATTGGATCCCAATCAACCCAATGTTTTGGAGGTGAAAAATGACTACTCTTATTACTTATAAAATATTAGTGCACTTGCCTGTAAAGGCATTTTCTGTATTTGTCTCCTGATTCAAAACAGTGGTCCCAAAAAGTATTTTGAGACTTTAGTCACACTTTAAAATGTATGCACAAATCAAGTAGAATCTGCTGGCAAATTATACTAGACTAACTTCACATTTCTCAGCTGCTTTTGCAGAGACTTTTAACCAGCTGGTGTCATGGGGATATTTAGTGGATGTTTTGGAAGTCGGAACCCTATCAAGTTTACACAAGGGGCCCTTGAAGCTATAAAGTTCCCAAACACTTTCTGTCTTAATTTTAAACTAAACCTACACTAACGTTCAAAAATTTGGGGTCAGTAAGTTTTTCAACACTAAATCAGCATATTAGAATGATTTCTGAAGGATCGTGTGACACTGAAGACTGGAGTAATGAGAATATTCAGCTTTGTCATCACCGGAATAAATTACATTAGTAATATATTAAAATACAAATAACTTAACTGTTTTAATAATATTTCAAAATATTACTGTTTTTACTGGGGATTTTTGGGGGGGGAGGGTTCAAATAAATGCAGTCTTTATAATCATGAGAGACTTCTTTCAAAAATATTTAAATCTTACCAACCCCATCCTTTTGAATTGTAGTATGTATTGTTTTATCACTTAAGACTGTATAAACATCTTTTTGTGAAATGTTTTGCTTGAAAAGTGTGCCTGTGCTGTTGTTGGTTTATATGGCATGGTTTAATCAAGTATTATTAAAGGTGTTGTATTGAATTTTGAAAGTATTTGAAAATACATCAGCACTTTGTTATAATGCTTTTTCAATGCTCTTTATTTAGATGACACTGATGGACGCTAATTATGTCATGGACGAAACTCTGGGCACAGCTAAATATTCCCTCTCAAAGCTCAAAGTGGGGCAGACAGAGCATGTGAGCCTATCTATTGGCAAGGTAAAGGTTTTTCTTTTCTTTTTTCTCTTTTTTGTGGTTTACACCATGAACTTGCCATGAACTAAATTCGTAGTTACTGCTTTTCAGTGTCTAATTGTTTATTTTTTTTATTATTCTCCGATTTTTGCTAGACGACAAAAGTGTTCCTCGACTTGTTCTTAGAAGTGTGGTATGTATTAAGAAATGTTTATTTCTATACATTGTGTAAATTTTATGCATACAGGAGTGAATGAGGGACTGAAAGTGAATAATTTTTGTGCAGTGCGTCCACAGACTTGCGCTTCAGCATGGCACTGTGTGATCAGGAGAAACTCTTCATGCAGACACGCAGGGACAGAGTTATGCTCAGCATCAAGAAGCTTCTCAAAATGGAAAACCCACACTTCCTTCCAGCCTCACCTAGAGAGGTAAAGTCAAAAACCACAAAAGCTGCCTTATAAACTTCTTATCTTATATCTAGCGAGAGCGATCCTTTCTGATAGCAGCTCTATTTTTGCACAGGTTCCCACCATCGCCATTTTGGGTTCTGGAGGTGGTTTCCGTGCAATGGTTGGTTTCTCTGGTGTGATGAAGGCTTTGTATGAATCTGGGGTGCTTGACTGTGCATCATACGTGGCAGGACTTTCTGGATCAACATGGTCAGTAAAAGTCGAATGTTTCGTTTTTTTCTTTAAAACAGATGCAAAAATCCCATGGGCTTCTCCAATCTTAAAAATTCCAGTAATGGTTCCAAAAAGGGCTTTTCACAGCATTGCCATAGTAGAACCGTTTTGGGTTCCTCTAAGAACCTTTCAGTAAACAGTTCTCAAAAGAATAGCTTATTTTCTTAGAGTGAAGAACATTTAGTAATCTGAAGAACTTTTTTCCACTATAAAGAATCTTTTGTACAGTGGGAAGGTTCTATGGATGTTCATGGAACCATAGATGCCATTAAAGAACCTTTCCAGGGACCAGAAAATCCAAAAAGGTTTATGCGGGTCACTAATTAACCATCCAAAACACCCTAGCAACCACAAAGTAATGCCCTAGAAACTATCCTAAATGAATACCCTAGCAGCCACATAACAATATGCTAAACACTATTCTGAACACTTCAACAACCACATCAATCACCAATCACATCAAAAATGGTAAAAATCTCGTGAACATCCATGTTGGTTATATTTCTACAGGTATATGTCCATGCTGTACTCGCACCCTGAGTTTCCCGCTAAAGGCCCAGGGGATATTAATATGGAGCTGATGAACAGAGTCAGCAATAGCCCACTCAAACTGCTCCTGCCCCAAAACATCAACCGCTACGTTAAAGCGCTGTGGAAGAAGAAATCGGCCGGACAGCCTGTCACCTTCACTGACATCTTTGGGATGTTGATCGGAGAGACTCTTATTCCAGGGGTGAGATATGCAGGAATACAAACTGGGTTATTGAGAGTTTTTACTGTAGCAGGCCATCAATAGTGGCATGAACTGCACTGGGCTGCACTGTACTCTATTTATACACTGTAGTTTGTTCAAGTACAAAGACTCCTTTGTATGTTGTCTCTCTATTATGCATCCCAATGCAAATGGACCCTTCTCTTGGGAAGGTCCTTGTACATCAGGAAGATACTTCTCTAGCTCCTGTATTTAGGAACGCATACTACCATTAATGTATTCCATTAATATTTTGTTTTAGAAAGAAATAAATTAACACTTTTATTCAGCATGGATGCATTAAATTGATCAAAAGTGAAATAATGTTACAAAAGATTTATATTTCAAATTAATGGTGTATTTTATGACATCAAAGAATCCTGAAAAAAGAGTATCATGGTTTTCAGCATAACTGTTTTCAACCACAACTCTTTTCAATACCAAATCAGCATATTTAAATAAATTCTGAAGGATCATGTGACACTTAAAACTGGAGTAATAAGTGCTAAAAATTCAGCTTTGTTGTCACTGGAATTACAATACATTTAAATAGAGAACAGTTAAATTTTACTAATATTATGGTTTTTACTGTATAAAAAAAAAAAAAATGTAAATTAAAAAATGCATCCTTGGTGAGCATAAAATACTTTTTTCTCCTAATGACCCCAAACCTTTGAAATGTAGTGTATGAGAAAATGTGCACACTTGATATTGTGCATTCACGTTGCTTATTTGTCCACTAGAGTAAGATATTTTTGAATCATTTACTATTTAAATATGACATTTCTGAAATATTTGCAGAGATATAGATGCAGCTTAGCAATAATGGACCACTGAAAGTGTGTCTGATATACATGATGACCAATTGATTTTAGGAAAAGATTTCTATTGCTTGAATGGACCCAAACTGCACCAAAA